TTTTTTTTTTTAAGTGTGTAAGGGCTTATGTTTAGGATGTTTTGCAGACTCTAATTCAATGAGAAAATACCAATTTATTTTCCCATTCTGTTAGTGGTAATGGCCCTTTATAGGCGATTGAATGTGCTTTTTGTAATTTTTTTGTGTTATTCAAGCGATTTTTAGGGTTTTTTTATGTGTTATTTTCGAGTGCCGATTTCAATTGGAAATGATTGTTTGATTCTTGTGGGGCGACTGAGGAATCACCATTTTAGGTAGCTTTTTCTGTTTCCTGGGTTTTGTTCTTGCATTTGTTGCCTCCAAAAAATGTTAAGTTAGCAACTTTTGTTCTGTAATTGGCTTTTTTCGGTTTCTTGTTTGATTTTAATGGTGATTTGCACTTAATTGAAGTGTTGAATTGTGGTTTGATTTTTTCTTTTTGTTTCTTTTTTTGCAAGATTTTGTGTTTCTTATTGTCTTGATTATTGTGATGAATGGGTTTATCCTATTTTTGTTGTTTTCATTGTTTTTTTGGCGTTTTAGTAGTGTTTGGGATGAGGGGTTGTACTGTTTAATGTTTCGGTTTGGTAAAGATTGTACCTTTTTGTCATAAATATTGCATATTTGTTGAGAATTGGAATGTTAGTCTGGGTGTAAATCATTATTTGTTGGGAGAATTTTATGAGCTGAGGAGAAACTGATTTGGCCCTTTTTTGTCTGTTGTATAGTTTCAAAGTTCTAGGTTTTGAAGCTTTGCTTTTGATCAATCACCGCCATCGACACTCGCGTCGAGTTTCATCATCGTTGTCAAAGGCGTCGGACGACCTCTTCCTCATCAGCGTCATCGTCTTTGATGCTAGCTGGAAAAAGAAAATCGTATTGCCGGTGGTGATGACGGGCGGCGGCGCTAAGATGCTCCGGCGGTGATGGCACTTGGTGGGCCGCCGGCGGTGCAGCCGTGTAGGTCGACAGAGACGACCTGTGATTGCCACATGATGTGCGTGTGTGTTGTGTGTCGTGAGTGTGGATGCGTGTGTTGTGTGTGTGTATGTGAGAGAGAGAGGTGTGAGGTGGCAGGTGGGCCCCACGTGTAAGTAGTAGTGTGGTGGCTTGGGTCCTACTGCTTGGGTATGGAAAAATATCATACTACCTTAATAAAGATATAATTTTAGTTTTCTTAAGTCATTAGATCATTTGATCTAACGGCTGAGATGTATTCATATATCTTTATTTGAGCGTCATTCTCACTTTAACCCGACCTTATATATATGATTGGTGGGTATGATGCAAGCAACGACGTGTGAATATTTTATCAAAGGGGGATCTGATTTCAGATTGGGCTAGCATAGTTCTAGAACGGCCCTGCGGGTCGACCCAGCCAGGTTGACCGTGGCCGAGACCTGTCCAGTTGAGTAGTTTGAGGGTAGCAAGGGATTCGGTCAAATCTGATCAATCCGGCCTTGACCTCGTCGACTGGGGTATTGACCCGGCCGAGTCAACTTGGTTGGCCCGGTCATTAATTTTTTTTAACCTTTTATTATAAAAAGTAAAAATATGTATATATATATATATATATATA